TAAGTGCAGGAGGAAAAAAAGAGAACCAGAAAAACTACACAGCTCTCTCCACCACTCTCCCCCCAACACACACAAAGCTCATATTCCCGCAGGAGACATAGACTACTAAACAGACTACTGTAGTACAGTCGGTAAGATCCATGATAGAAATGGCGGTGTGATGTAAAAAGGAGAGACATCTACATAGGGTGGGAGGTAGTATAAGCTGAAGAAGGCTTCCTGGAGGAGGCAATAGCTGAGCTAAGTTTATAGGATGATTACATGTGGTTAGGAAAGTGGGGAGTTCCTGTGATTTGCATGGAATGCCTTGACCAGAGGCATACTGGAAAGAAACAACTTGATGAGTGCAGTAGAGTACAGGTTGTCTGGTTTTCTCAGCACGACATAGGAGCTAGCTTCTAGCTTTACAAATAGTATCCTTCACTCACTGAAGCACAATGAACAGACCTAAGGACAGTCCTTTTTCTAACCACCCAGGATCTAAAATCCAAATTCTACAGGTGAAATTCACCAGTTGTCACCAACTGCAGACAAATAACGCATGTGTGTTTTATTACGACATCTGTAATAGTTTTTCTTATTTTTGGCCAAGAGCTCGTGAGTTTGGCTGGATTCAGGGTATCTGTTTGCTGTATTTTCTGAGTTGCTCTCAGGTTTTTCTTACCCTCACTTTTCTGAAGCCATGCTAAGGATAGTGTTTTTGTAATTTCTGTTTAGGTTTCTCAGTGCTCATCCAATCTTTAAAAGAGCCAACGTTCATTTATTATGTGTTTAAGTCTAAGATATTTTTAAATACAAATGAGGATGTGTCAGTATCTAATTGGATTACAGACTTATCCTTAGAAAGTATAATGTAGCTTTTGGAGAATAGGCAATATAGGTACATTTAGCTGAATAATTAATTAAACAACTACATAATTAAAACTATGGAATGAATAGATTCTCTACAAGAATCTGCAGTGTAGTACAATAATGAATCTGTATGGCCTGAAGCCAATCAAGTTGGATTCATTGAAATATGCTGCTTCTATCATGTACTGGAAGCAAGAAAGTATGTGAAGATAATCGCAGATTAGCTTCCTCTGGAGAAACATATAAACGATAACCTGGTGAAATAAATGTTTGAGCTTTTTGATTATCCCCTGGACCCTGAATCTGTATTTCCAAAATTTCTTGTCCAGTGAACTCACTGATATTGCTAGCATAGCTTTGTTTACAGAAACAGCAGAGAGAAGGCCATCTCTATGGTATCTCTTTGGTTTATCTTCTCTGCTCCAAGGTTACTTGAGCAGCAGTCTTTTTTATCCATGTTGGCTTTGTTGAACATTTCCTCGGCATCCTTACTTTGGATAATTTAGAACTGCAGCAGTTTGGCTTTCACAATTACTGAATCCCATGAAAAAGCAGGTGGCATGCTACCTTGTTCAATATCCCTATTACAGTCTGGGAGAAACAATATAGAAATTTGAGTTGTGCTGCAATTTCAAAGGAAAGAAAAATCTGCCATTTACTTTCCTTCTATGTGTTCATCTCAAGGGGTAGATCTCAAGGGGTGGACCTCAAGAGGAATGTGTCAATCAAGATCTGGACTAGTTCAGAACTTTACTCACATTGTTATCACAATACAATGATATGGTCTAAAATATCTCAACTACTTTTCTTTTGATTTAATCGGTCACATGGTATTTTTAGCAATTGTATGGCAATTGTGAAAAAATGAAGATGGGAATACACACAGGGCTCTCTTTAAAAAGAGCTTATAATAGGTATTACATAGTTACTGTTATTGAGATAAGCCTATTGTATGGACAGCAAGTCATCTCCTGCATGAATAAATACTTGCCACCAGTGGAGAGCCAGAGATGAAAGTCATTCACAGTCATTTGCTTATTTACACAGCTGGAGTGTGTGCGAGCAGAGTGTGTATGCTATAGAGAATAATCTTTTTTTTTAAGTTGACAAAACATTCATCTTTTGTGTCTCATTGTTCAATATTGGACACATGAGTACCATGCCTTTCTTTTATGTGACGATAGCAAAACCTCCTCGCCATCAGACCATCAAGAATTTTGAGTTGAGAACGTTTTATTTGCTCTTTGTGTAACCAGTGCAACAAATTTGCATGGTATTTAAAGTTCAGACCCAATTTATTCATTTTAAAAATAATACTGTGTTATACTGCATTTTATGATACATAGGATACATATGATACATACATATACTGCATTTTATGATACTTGCTTCAGACATGATAGGTGTTTAATAAGCAACACTGCTGGGTCAAACTGGGTTGCAAAGTAGATTCCATTATACCTACATTGAGATAATGATAAAGATATGCAATTTACTACTAATGTTTGGAGACCTATGAGTCTCAAAAGATCAGAACCTATACCACAAAATTTAAATAGGCAACCACACTGGCAATTTTTTGCATGACTAAAGTGCCTGGGTTTTAAATTGTTCCAAGTATTTTCTTTATAAATAGCAACATTCCCGGAGAGTCCTTGGATGCTGTGTACCTGGTAGTTACAGGAGAGTTCTGGAGTTCATTAATCAAACCACCCTTGATTTCTGCTTAATCTATTTCAACAAAGGTTTATATTCAGAGTGCATTGAAGAGTATTAGAATGGAAAGAATAAGGCCAGGTGTGGTGGCTTGCACCTGTAATCTCAGCACTTTGAGAGGCCGAAATGGGGGGATAGCTTGAGTCCAGGAGTTTAAGACCAGCCTGGGTAATAATGGTGAAACTCTGTCTTCACAAAAAAAAAAAAAAAAAAAAAAATAAAATATGGCATGCTCGCTGTGAGCCCAGCTACTTGGGAGTGATGAGACAGGAAGATTTACTGAGCTCACACTTTAAGCTCCGGCCCTTCGGGTGACGGAGTGAGATCCTGTCTCAAAAAAAAAAAAAAAAACAAAATGATCAATTATAATACTATATAATACACACACACACACATAAGAAAACAGTAAACTAAAAGTAGAAGGATTTGTTTTGAGATCAACAGAGAAAATGAAGACTTTTATATTTTGTGACATAATTAAAAATACAACTTTTCTAAAAAATTATTATTGATGTATATATAAAAGGCAAGCAAAATCCAAGGATTTTTAACCATGCTTTAGGCGATACAAAAGTTCTGTGTAATCATGAAAAAAAAAGAGGTTAAAAAATAGCACTTATACTGAGTCTAGATAAACCAAATAACTAAATATTTATATATGTTGCTAAATAAGAAACAATTTGGCCATTTTAAGGACCGAAGTTTGTCTTACCATAAAATGATGCATGCATATTCCTAACCATGTTAGGTATATTGGGAATTCATGAGATCCCATATTTGGTATATGGACACCATAACGAATTTAGTACATATTTTTTCTCTTCCTATTCCAGAGATACTGTAATAGAAGGAGTAATCAAATTCTTATATCTTTGAAACACTGTCACTTCACAAATGAATAAAACTTTTTCTTCTCTTAATCGGCTGTAAGTCCTTATATTTCAGGAAAAAGAAAGTAAAGATAATAAACTCTAAGTATGTATTCTGTAAAGAACCAAATTGACAACATTTAAATATTGTGCTTATATTCAAAAGATAATCTTTAGGGGCATACCATCTAGATTTTAAAATGCAGTATTTTCTCTCAACATGCTAGAAATAGTGTACTTCTGGCTTCTGTTGGTGCTGTTGAAAAGTGAGCACTCTAATTCTTGGCAGGAGGTATGTAAGTGTACTAGAAGTTTTGAATCTGGTGGTTGAAGAACAGGATGTTTGAAATCAAAGTTTCCATTATGGTACTAGTTTTTATAATGATAATGTCCCGTGTGTACCTTTGAGAGTGGATGATTGCAGAGGAATGGATGAATAGATCCTCATTTCAGTGTTCAAAAATATGTATTTTTACCCAAGTAGTGAATGAAATACGATGTTCTTACAAACTGTAAAATTTTGAAAAGAATTTTTCCCTGTACATTGAGGAGATCTAGCCCACATACCATGTTCAATGTTATTTAAAGCCTTCTGCTTCAATATCAAATAATGTTTTTAATTAGCTTTATTTAAACTGAAGTCAACTAATCATAGATTCTTGACTGGTGACTGAATTGATATTTTATTGCCCGCTAAGCTTTGATGTGTAAGTAAGTGTGAAATAGGCATTCATTGCTGAAGAGCAATGGAAATGAAATTCTCCCCCGATGGCTTGAAAGTGTGGTGTGAGTACTGGCTTCACTAATAAGTATCGAATGTTATCATAATATCTAATCCTATATACTTTTTCTGAATCTTTTTAAAAAATTCTTGGTTACATGACTTTGTTACTTTCCCCTGCATACTAAATACTGTTTCTTCACAGTCCCTCTGATAATACGTATTATCATTCTGATAATACGTGGTTTCAGGAAAGTGTGTTATTGACTCATTGGTACTAAAGTATGCTTGGTATTTGAATTTTAACAGATTTTAAGACAAAAGAGTGAACCTTTCTGACATGTAAGAAATAACATTTAGTAAGACCTTTTGTAACTCCTAAAATAACATATAAGTTTGTGACCTACTATGTAAATAGGTAAAGTTGACTAAAAGTGATCAGAAGAAATTCAGAAATATATTTGTTCAAAGTGTATATTAGGTGTACATATTTATGCTTTAATGTATATTTGTAGACATATACACTTTATAAAACTTTAGAAGAAGACAAGAGTCAATAGGTAACAAATTAGAAAGCCACAGTAGCCACATTTATGATTTGGAGTCTGATGTATATTTTTTCTTTTAATTTAACAAAGATTATATGTCTCAGAAGCTACTGAAAAAAAATGTCGAAATAAAATTCTTAGAAATTCAGATACGCTAATGGATTTTGATTAAAAAGAAATTTTGGATCAAATGAATAACAAAAGTGTTACCTTGACTAATGGTTTTGTTAATTGGGCTTCGCCTGACATGCGTTTGCTTAGAATTTAACTATGATTTTTTTCTTTTTTTTCCAGTGTTAAAGAACCCAGTATGTAAATTATATAGATTTCCCACATCTGACAATAAGTGGATGCGAATTCGAGAGCAAATGTCAGAGAGCATTCTTTCCTTTCATATTCCTAAGGAATTGATTTCCCTTCACATTAAAGAAGATTTGTGCAGGTAAGAGAAAATAACTGTTGTCTCTCATATTAATTATTTTATATCATTTAAAATTTTTAATTGACAAATTATATATAATCTGTGCAACGTTTTGAAATATGTATGTGTTGTGAAATAGCTAAATTGAACCCAGTTAACATTTTCATTACCTCACATACTTATCAATTATTATTTTTTCTCTAGAATATTTTTTCTAAAGGCATAATGATGATGTAAAAATCTAGACCTGAACTGTATACTATGGTGGCCACTAGTCCTATGTAACTATCGATTACTTGAGATATGACTAATCCAAAATGAAATGTTCTATCACTGTAAGATACACACCAGATCTTTAATTCTTAGCACACGCTTGCAGATGATTTAATAACAAAATGTTAACTTGGATATATTGGGGTTTTATAAAATATATTACTAAAGTTAACCTCATCTGCTTTTTTAATTTAAACTTTTAAAATATGGCTACTAGAAAATTTAACATTACATATGTTACTTTCATTTGTGGTTTGAGCTGTATTTCTTGGATACCTTGGTATCTAGCCAATAATTTGAGCTTTGATCTTGTAATAATTCTTGTGTCTTTTCCTCAACTGCTTATGGTTGCTGTTTCTGGAAATAATTCCTATTTGACTCACCTTTGGACTTCTCGTTTGTAGTAAGGCTTTCAGAAATTTATTAGTCTAAAAACGACTGGAGATGACTGAATAAAACATGCTATGCTAATAGACAGTATTGTACAACAAAATTAAATCAGTTGCTATAATAAGGTAGAGGGATTTGAGAGCTTATTGCTTGTTAAGAGTATCTCTGGACCATGACTAATCAATTTGTTTCTCTGCCTTTTAAACAAACCCGTAATAACATTAAAAATGCTGAATGCTACATTATATAAAATCCTGTTAAGGTTCTAAATCTCATTAAATTAGCAACTTTTAAAAAGTTAACACTTTATAATTGCTGAAATCTACAGCAGAGTGTGAAATTTCTAGCATTTGGGTTCCTGCCTTATGCTCACATTAGTGCACATATTTATTTAATAGTACTGTACTCTTTTGGTAGACTCTGAAGTCCCCAGGGATTCCATATTAACCTAAGCCAGTGAGGACACCATAGACAGGGCAGGTCAAATTGGCAACTGTTAACAAAATTGGTTAGGGTAGGCATGACTGCATGAATACGAAAACAGAACCCCAATTTCAGGGAAATTAACGAACTGGATTATTAAAATGTGATCTGCATCTAGGGAAATAAACACTAAAAATGAGACAGAAAGGTGAATATTTGAGAGTAGCAGAGTGAGGATCATAAAGCCAGAGAAATCAGACAACACGTATTGACTCAGGCAAAGAGAAGCTATGGCATGCTCAAGAATCTAAGCGCACTACGTAAGAGCCAACTGCAAGAAGCAGCAGCCAAGTTATTCTGAAATGCGTTTTCAACATTATCCCTACCTAACAGACATAGTGACAGTAGGCAACAGACAAAACACATTACCTGGAAGCATAAAGCAAGCTTATATATTACAGTAGAAGCACAAGGAGTTTGGATTTTAGAAGTCATTATCCCCAACATGATTGCGTTCTAGACCACTGGACACCAAGAATCACTCCTACTAGAGCCATGTAATAATCACCTTTTTATCCTGAGGGGTTGAAGACGTCAGCTAGTCCTCACAGGAGTTATGCAGAATAAGGAAAGACTCTCATTAGACAAGCATGAGATTACAGGCAGAACCCGAGAAACACAGAAGAAGAGTTGCCACATGAAGCAGACTTAAGAATTTAGAACTAGGGCTTACCCTTTAAATGGCTACAGAATAGCTACATCTAATGTAGCCAAAACTAAATTTCTAATTACAGTTAACAATAATTTATTTTGTAATTCCAAATACTTAGAAGAATTGTAATGTTCACCACACAAAGAAAAGATAAATTTTTGAGGTGATGAATATCCTAGTTACTCTGACCTACACATCATATACAAGTATCAAAATATCACACGTACCCCCAAAATATATACAACTATGATATAGCAATAAAACATAAGATAAGTGGAATAGAATGTCTTTGAAGACATCGACAATATAAAATAATGACATGTCGGCCGGGCGTGGTGGCTCACGCCTGTAATCCCAGGACTTTGGGAGGCCGAGGCAGGCAGATCACTAGGTTAAGAGATTGAGACCATCCTGGCTAACGTGGTGAAACCTCGTCTCTACTAAAAATACAGAAACAAAATTACCAGGTGTGGCGGCGGGCACCTGTAGTCCCAGCTACTCAGGAGGCTGAGGTGGGAGAATGGCGTGAACCCAGGAGGCGGAGCTTGCAGTGAGCTGAGATCACACCACTGCACTCCAGCCTGGGCGACAGGGTGAGACTCCGTCTCAAATAAATAAATAAATAAGACATGCCATAAAACACCGAAATTCATTAACTTATATTCATTAACATAGCATTTATTATTATACTATATATAGTATTTAACATAATAACCAATTTTAGCCTAATATTTTTGAGTTGAAAATCTTAGTTGATGGATCATTAACACCACTTCATTAAAAAAATTCAACAAGCTAGGAAAAGAAAGAGTAATCCTATTTGAATTTGAAAATCGTCTTGTGACCCTGTCTTTTGTCTTCAGTTTAGAAACCTCTTAAAGGATGAGCAGCTGTCTTTCTAATGCTTGTCTGCTACTTTTGAGTCCTCCACAGTGCTATCTTCAAAGTCCACTTCTATTCTCACTAATATCCTTCTGTCTGCATTCATTGATAGCAAATCAAGGGAGAAAGAACGAGTAGGGAATTAGGAGAAAGAAACTAATAAGCTATTGAATTTTGGTAGTCATAGCCACTGTCATTACTGTTGTTATTTTAACACATCAAAGTATTATCCACCTACCCTATTCTCTTTATGACTTTCTCTGTATCTCTTTTGTTATTTCCATATGCTTCACAGCAAAACATTTGCTAACACATAGAAGGGGCTGGTGGGCAGTTTTGGGAAAGATGAATAAACACCGCCTCCCAATATGAAGCTCCATTGCCAGAGACAAAATTAGAAACTGGAATTGTTCAGAGAAGAAAATTACATTTTAATTCTACAAAAACAAAAGATATAGAAACCTGATAGATTCCAAAATCTCACCAGGGTCTGTGATGGCCAGGCTGTATACTTTTGGCTTTCTCCAATACCTTTTCTGTATAAATCTCCTATCATTAGAATTTATTTAGAAATTCAACAATGAATGTTTTAAATTTTATATTGAAAAGGAGATTTTCAAAATTCATCCTGGAAACTCAAAGGGGAAATAGGAAAAGCTTGTAGGAAAATTGGCCAGCTGTCTCAGTGGAGTGTAAGAAGATATAGTTACTGTAAAACAGAATAAGAAATCTATACAAAGGGAACCATCTAAAGAAAAAAGGTCATGAAGAAAAGTGTAATGCACTAAATAATGAAATTTTAAGATGCAGTGGCCACATTAAATCCACAGAGCCAGCAGAAAAGATTTAACACTAAGACATCAGGTCTGTAATGTGGAAGACAAACACAATAAGCTCTTCCTAAATGCTAAAGAAAGTTGAAAAAAAGGTTCAGATGCATGAGAGAGAAGATGTTAGATGTGCAAGACCAAGAGCTGGACATTACTAAATACTTTTAAGTGTTCTTGGAGAAGAACAGTTAGTGCAAAAAACTTGACAAAAAGCATTAAAAAAATTACTGAGTCTACAGTTTTGTTTTTACTTTTACATGCTAAAATCAGGCTAGCATTATACTTCCCTGTAGAACCCGATGGGACAGTATCTACTGATTTCTGAGAGAAAACGGCTGTGGCTTTACATTATTATATAGGGTTAGGTTATAAATTTTTTATGGATGAAGCGAGATGTACTGACATATACAAGAACTCAGAAACCATTATACACAAAACATTCTTGAAAATCCTACTTGAAGATATGTCCTATCCAACTGAGAAAATAGTTTAAGAATTATATTTGTAATATAGTACAAAAATTAAATTATATGATGATATAAAATTAATGTACCATAATGTAAAAATCAGGCATGTTAAGAATGGGAAATTGTCCTATAAAAGAATTCGAGGCATTCTTCTTCGTGTAATCTCCAGGGGAAGCTTTACTCTGAGGTTTTTTCTCAGCTGCTCTTCCACTACCTTTACCCAGATCCCAGAAAGTGTTTTATTTGTACCAACTTCCCTCCCAGTCCCACAATTCAGATAGACTCTTGCCTTGTTTAATGAAAATGACAAGTGCTTTAGTACCATTACATTTCAATAGTTGCAAAGAGTGCAGACCATTCATTTACATGCTTGGAAATCCAAACTGGAAGAACCACTAAGCAAAAATTTTGCTTGTTTTTTTTTAATCCATAAAGACAAAAGTATTGCCTGAGAAACCTTGTATTATAGTCATTTGCATTGCTAAGGAAACTAAATAACTATTATCTGAAATTTTAACATAAATATTAACTAAGTTGTAACATTTTTTGGTGAAGAGTAGTAAACCAATGAGTAGCAGATACAAACTGTGTCTAAGTCCCTTTGATATATTGTTCTGTATAGGACCTGTGGGAGTATACACACACACACACACACACACACACACACACACACAGGCATACCTGAGAAGTATTGTGCATTCAGTTCCAAACCACATTCATCAGTGATAGCCACCGCCATCAATGATCTTAGCTAAATCTTCTGGATAAGTTGCTGCAGATCCTCCATCAGCGCTTGCTGCTTCACCTTGTACTTTTATGTTATGAAGAGAGCTTCTTTCCTTAAACTTCGTGAACCAATGTCTGTCAGCTTCAAATTCTCTTCGTTGGCTTATTCACCTCTCTCAGCCTTTATAGAATTGAAGTAACTCTCTTTGGACTTTGCTCTGGATTAGAATTTGGCTTAAGGGAATGTTGTGACTGGTTTGATCTATCCAGAAAACTGTAACTTTCTCCACATCAGCAATAAGGCTGTTTTGCTTTCTTATTATTCGTGTATTCG